AATATTTAAATAAATGAGCAAATGGACATTTAAAAAACCCAAAAAACAGACTTGGGGATGCTTTGAGCTGACTTGTGTACCCCAAACTTCGTATGTGTGAAGTCCTAACTCCAGTACTTCCGAATATAACTGTATTTGGAGACGGAATCTTTAAAGAGGTAATTAAGTTAAAATGACATCATCCAGCTGGGCCCTAAATGGCTGGTAAGAAGAGCCATTGAGACACACACTGGGAAGACCACGAGATGACACAGAGACAGGACAACCACCTTCAAGCCAAGGAGTGAGGCTGCCGAGGAAATCAGCCCTGACATTTTGGTCTCAGACTTCAAGCCTTCAGAACTGCAAGAACATACTTCTCTGCTGTTTAAGTCATTCTGTTCCTGGTCCTTGCTTATGGCAGTCCAAGCAGACAAGAGAGAGGAGAGAGTTCATTTCATGTCTATACACAAGAAAGATAATATTTTACACTCCCATTAGTTACCTACAACTTATAGAGTTGTAGAATATCTCCCTTCGAATCAGACAACTCAGTCAGTTTAATAATAAGAGCTTATTTATGACTAGGATCCATCTGCTACTACCTATGGCCAAATCCAGCCCCAAGTTTGTTTTGTAAAGTTTTATTGGAACACAGCTACACTCAGTCCTCTACATATTGTCTATGATTGCTGTCACAAGACAAAAGCAGAGCTAAGAGTTTGCCATTTGCAAAGTCTAAAATATTTACTATCCAGTTTTGTGCAGAAAAAGCTTGCAGAACCTTCTCTAGATAAGGCATGGTTTTCCAGTGAAGCACAAATGTTTCCCTACAACTGGAATGCCGTTCAAGATCATCCAGCCCAGAGGTTCCCAGATTTTTCATTCTCATGGGTCAGTACAATTTCAAATGGGGGGGATAGTCACAGGGTCTCCCATGCTTACATTTGCCAAATATTGACTATTTAATAAAAGAGGATATTTTAACTGGCCATCAAAGAGCATTCGTTAAAGTGGATAGTGTATGAAAAGCTTCTTACATTATCCTTTGTTTCATTTCTCGGAGATTAGGTAAAAAATTTCACCCCTGTTCAGACAGTCCATGGTCTGGATAGTGGAATCACTGACCTGGCTCAGCCTTACGTGCTGTCTGCTCTGTCCAGGGAGACGGCTGGCCTGGACTCGGGGTCATGGCCTTACTCCCAGTACCCAGGCTGATGCCCTTGCAGGGAAGAGGGTGGTTCCTCTGAGACTAACTTATTGCCAGGGTCAGCCTGTGCACGTTTGATACACCCCCCTCCATTTGCAGCCAGTCTTGTCTTGCTTTAAATTTAACATGTTCTTTCCTAATTTTCAAAAGAAAGATATGTTCAGTGCAGAAACCCTGGGGAAAAGCGGAAAGTACACAATTCATCTCTACCCAGAGAGATACAAAGATTTACTGATCTGCAAGGAGAATAAATACACTTTCCAATCTGAAAATCCTAAGGGGACAAAACCTAGCATATCTCCCAAACCCAAAATGCAGCCTGGCGCACGGCACACATCAATATTTTTTGAGGGAATAACTGAATATAAATAACTACGATGATTTTTTCCTAGCTGATCCAAGAAAATTCAGCAAGTCTTTATTTTTCTTTCGATAATCAAAATGGCTGATACAGATCTTTCAGACAAAAATATTCTTTGCACTTATCTTTTTGCCTTGTATTTCTTGTATTATATTTTCCTCCTTTTTTTTTTTTGAAACAGAGTCTCACTCTGCCACCCTGGATAGAGTACTGTGCCATCATTGTAGGACAGCAACCTCAAACTCTTGGGCTCAAGTGATCTTCCTGCCTCAGCCTCCCAAGTATCTGGGACTACAGGTGCCCTTCATGATACCCGACTAGTTTTTTCTTTTTTTAGTACAGCCAGAGTTCTCACTCTTGCTCAGGCTAGTCTTGAACTCCTAGGCTCAAGCAATTCACCCGCCTCAGCCTCCCAGAGTGCTAGAATTACAGACAGGAGCCACTGCTCCTGACTCCCTTTTAAAGCTTATAAGTGCAAGAACAATCATTTAAGAAGTTTAAGATTATATATTTTCACTAGTTTTCATCACATTTTACTTTCTAAACAATTTACATAAGTTAAGTCTTATTATTAAACTGCCCTGGTGATACATACACTGTAATGGTCTTTAAAAATTGATCTGGTAGACTTTCATGATTTCAAAGACGTGGCTCTAGCAATTCCTTAGAAGCAAAATTTAAATGATTGAATTATTTCATATTCATGTTTGGTCATCTAAATAAGAAACATAATTCATATTCAGGTGTAGGGGACACCAAGAGTCAGACGACCTCTGAGCAAGATGATTTACAGCTGAGGGGTGGACTCTCGGGTGACTTGTCCACAGGAGTTCCTTATGGAGAAAGAGCCCGTGCCTTCAGCATGCAGTCATTGTTAATTACTCCCCTCATCTGTGTTATTCTGTCTCAATAACAGGCTGGTGCGGAGGTTGCTTGGGGCTACCGGGAAAGTAAGGGCTAGCCCGTCTCCCTCAGCTGGAGACGTGTCATGCCTGGTTCCTTCTTGCGGGGATCAAGACCAGGGCCATAGGGGCCTGACGGGTAGCGACATTCAGGGGCTAGGTGCACTGGCTCACGCCACTTTGGGAGGTCAAAGTTGGAGGATCACTTGATGCTAGAAGTTCAAGTCCAGCCTGAGCAAGAGTAAGACTCTGTCTCAACTAAAAATACTAGAAAAATTAGCTGCCGGCTGGGTGTAGTGGCTCAATGGGAGCCTAGCACACTGGGAAGCTAAAGTGGGTGGATTGCTTAAGTTCAGGAGTTAGAGACCACCCTGAGCTAGTGCAAGACCCTGTCTCTAAAAATAGGCAGGCATTGTGGTGGGTGCCTGTAGTCCCAGCTACTTGAGAGGCTGAGGCAAGAGGATCTCTTGAACCCAAGAGTTTGAGGTTGCTGTGAGCTATGATGATAGCACTCTACCCAGGATGACAAAGTGAGACTCTGACTCTAAATAAATATATGTCTATAAAGCCAAATCCTGAGAACTCTACTATTGAAATGCTCCAGTTAATTAGATTTTTGTTAACTATTAATCTGTTTCTGTTGAGATAGACTTGTTAACATCTGGGCATCGTGGTTCGTGGCAGACGCCTGTAGTCCCAGCTACTCAGGAGCTGAGACAAGAGGATCACTTGAGCCCAACAGTATGAGGTTGCTGTAAGCTATGAAGCCATGGCACTCTACTGAGGGTGACAAAGGGAGACTCTGTCTCAAAAATAAAATAAAAATAAAAGTAAGATATACTTGTTAGAAATTTGATCAAGATTTTACCAACTTTTAATCTACTTTCTTGCCTTAGGACAAAGAATTTCATGGGCACAAAACAATTGCATCCTGCTCCGCTGAGTCAGGACTCTGCAGCTTTCCAGGTGAGGATTTGGAGCAGCAGGGAGCACATGGAGGGTGGAGGAGGGGTGAGAGTGAGCCGATCTGCAGCTGAGCTTCGGCTCCTCTTGGGGCTCTTCTCCCTTGGTCAGCACTGTCTCATACATGAGTATTACTGTTAGCTGGTTCCGGTTACCCAAAAGTATATTTGCCACACTTGCATCCTTTATTCAAGGAACAAAACTTTTAAAATGACTTCAACCAGCTTTTTCACTTGTGGAACAAATGAGATGTCATTACCCACATATATTTATTTTCCATCTAAATATTAATATATCACCCAGATTTATATTTGTGTCCCAAATTTTCTTGGCAAATTTAGGGTTCCCACTTTGGCTGTGCTTTTGAGAAGTATTCTATACTACAATGCTGGCTGGGCGGCCGTTTGAAGTGGGGATGACTATTTGGTCAGTTTCTAAGCCCATATGTCTCCTTTGGGTCCTAACGCAGCTGAGAGATCTAGCCCTAAAGATATGTGCAAGGAACTAACTTCTGTAAGGACAGGAGAAATCTACGAGATGAATAGATTATCTTCAGTTTCATTTAGAATGCACTTGCTAAAATTATATGCTTTGGGGATGGATATTTGAATGGTTGCCATCAACATGTATGATCGAAGTTTTCAGCCACCAAAATAAGGACCCATTTATAGCAACATTTAAATGTATGTGACAGTGTCTCCCAAATTTTGCTGCACATTAGAATCATCTGGGGAGCATTTGAAAATCTAAATGCCTGGATGTACCTCGTCCCTGGGGCTGGGGATCAGACTGTTTGGGAGTGGGAGCCAGGCATTAATATTTTAAAATATCCCTGGGTGATTCCAAACTTCAGCAAGATTTAGGAACAAATGGCATATGGTATTGTAAGTGTAAGTAATTTGTAGCATATTAATTAAAGGACTCAACTAAACTTACAAAATACTTTAATTCACAGACTTCATGGATATTTACACTTAAAATGCTTCAACATTAGGATAGCAAATTATTTCAGAAAGTAAAAAAGAAGCTGTCAGCGCAACTGGAAATTATTCTATAATCTAAAATATTGCCAGAAAATTGCAATTCACTTCTTCTTAAAGGGACATTAGGGATGTTTCTTTCCAGCTTCAAAATCCTTTTTGTAAGTACAGAAGCAAAAGAAATACGGAAAGATGAAGGGAAGAAAGGATATAAACAAAGAAAAACTAAAATGATTATTTACTAAGAATTGCAAATGCTCATTTTCTGGTTACACCACAAAGTTCCATTCTCTGTTCCTAGGACTTTGCGTAATTCAAAGGGGACGTGATGGTGGAGGGCTCGTGCTTTTAGTTTATCAAAATAAACCTGAGTGTTCCTTTTGCCAGCCTTCAGAGAAAACTGAGGCTTTACTCATCTTTATGAAAAAAAGAAAGAGAAAGAAAAGAAAACATGTCCTAGCAGTCAGCCTGCCTGCCTCTGCACTGTTCTGTGGTTGCAGAGTCCCTCCTAATTGATCAGCCCATTTTCAACAGATTTCTGTGTTAGGAACATTCAAGGATTATGTCAGCAAGACTGCTGCTGCTTGCCTGCTAGAGAAAACAATTTACAATAACAAACACACACTAGACTTGGATGAAGTACCCTCCCCACAACCTCTGGGTCTATTGGGGTCATTCAGTTCCTCAAAAAGCCCCGTTTCTATAATTTCTTCCTGCCATGCTATGGGGACAGCACCTGTGGCAAATCTTTGGAAGAATTTTTTATCTTTGTCATCAAATTCCACCCCTCGAACCTCAGAGAAATCTTCAATTTCAGCGATGTCTTTGGCATAAACCACTGAAGGGTCTGGCACAAATGGGGGTTCAATTAGGCCGGCTTCCAGGCGAGCAAAGTTGATGGTATTAAAGAAAGGATGTTTTCTGGGATCATCAGATTTTTCTCTGTGAAGAAAGGAGATGATCAGCCTGAGAAATAGTTAACAAACCAAAATAGGAAATGTTCTAACAATACAAAGTGTGCAGCATTCTTTTCTTATAATACATGAGAAGCACTAAGTCACAGACTTGCACGGGTTTTTTGCTCTTGCTCTGCTGTGTTGACTGTTCAGAATCACATCTGCCAAAAACTTCAGTGGTCTTCATCTTTTATTTCATATATATATATATGTATGTGTATATATATATATTTATTTATTTTGGAAGACACTGTAGTTGATCCTGCTTGGAGCCCCGCAAGATGCTCAGAAAAGCTTTTGGCTTCTGTGCAAAATTAACTCCTGGGCCCATAAAGGCAAAGAAAATAATCTTCTTCAGAAGTGACTGAAGGAGAATGGTTTTTAATTCATTTTAAAAGCCTTGTAGGTTCGGCAGTTATAGCTCAGAGGCTAGGGTGCCAGCCATATACGCAGGGGCTGGAGGGTTCGAACCCAGCCTGGGCCTGCCAACCAACAATAATAACAACTACAACCAAAAAATAGCCGGGCATTGTGGTGGGTACCTGTAGTCCCAGCTACTTGGGAGGCTGAAGCAAGAGAATCACTTAAGCCCAAGAGTTGGAGGTTGCTGTGAGCTGTGATGCTAAGGCACTCTACTAAGAGTGACATAGTGAGACTGTTTCAAAAAAAAAAAAAAAAGTAAAAGCTGTGTAAAATGCTGTCTAGGCCTTGGCTTTGGAGGTTGTCTACTACATTAACCCAATGCTATCTCATCTGAACAAACTTTTAAAAAATACAAAGAGTTGGACTAAAAATGTTGGAAGCTTTTCCCTTTTGCTGAGCAGTTGTTTTTTGGTGTGTGTTTGTCTCCGAGACAAGGTCTCACTCTGTGCTGTGCTGGAGTGCAGTGATGTCATCATAGCTCACAGCAACCTCAAACTCTGGACTCAAGCCATCCTCCTGCCTCAGCTTCCTACATGGCTGGAACTACAGGCACATGTTACCATGTTCAGCTAACTTTTCCGGGTTTTATAGAGATGAAGTCTCACTATGGTATTCAGGCTGATGTCAAATTCCTGGCCTCCAACAATCTTCCTGATTTGGCCTCCAAAAGTGCTAGAATTATAGATGTGAGACACTGTTTCTGGCAACCAGCTGTTTTTCTTATCTGGCTTTTCTCTAATGTTGTAAAGCGTCTTCTTCAAAATAGTCGCAACAGCAGATGCTTTATTAAAAAGCCTTTGCTCAGTGAGGCAGATTCAGGCAATGATCCAGCACGTCCAAGTGTCATTCTCCTGAGGAAGTTTGTCAATATTTCATTTTATAAATCCAGAGTGCGCTTATAGAATACTGAGATAGATTTTCAAGCATGTGAATTGAGGTGGCTGAATGGGTGGTGGTCCCTTCAGGGGGGCCATCTGAACAGACGGCTTCCCTGAGGTCTCTGCCGCTGTGCGTGTTTCCTCTGCTACTCCCTGAACTCGAGGACCAAGAGATGGAGCTGTCAGTGCTGAGCACTGGTCACCACATCCTGTTTGCCTCTCCTTCCTGGGCACACAGACCACAAAACTTGTCAGCTTCTTTGCCCTTCGGCAAACCTGAGGACTAGTTCTAGTCAACAGAGGTGTGTCTGACATGACATGTGGTAACATGTGTGTCACTTCCTAGCTGAGGCAGTAGAAAGCCCCCTGAGTTTTCTACATTCTCTCTTCTGCCACCACCACTTCTACCCAGAAGTCCCAATACAGCTGTAGATGGAAGCAGCCTGGATCTCTTTGCCCTCAAGTGCCAGTGGGCCCATAATGGGCTTTGTGTGAATAACAAATAATTGTTTTAAAACATTTTAAGCTTGAAAAAAAACATTTTAAGCTGTTGAGGCTTTGGGGTTTGCTTGTTATCATAACATAGACTATTCTGACCTTATTAATATAATGCTGGAGTCAGTAGTTCCACATTTTCTTCCAAAGTATAGAATTCTATCTATTTTCAAAATACTCACTAGTGGGCAGCACCTGTGGCTCAAAAGAGTAGGGCACCAGCCCCATATGCCAGAGGTGGCAGGTTCAAACCCAGCCCCAGCCAACAAAGAAACTGCAAAATATTCACTAGTTAGTTTGGTTATCTGTCATGCTTTAAAAGTTATTACGAATGAATTTTGTTCGGCTACTTTTAAAAAAACAGGTCAAAAATTAAAAGCCTGCCTGCATGCGTGAACATTTCCAGCTAAGGCTCTTCTAAAGCCGTCTTCTGAAAACTCCAGTGGCAATTACTTGGAAGGTTCAAAGTAATTCAGCTGCTTGTAGATGAGGGATAAGTTCTAAATCATAGTACTTTATGGTTGTAAATTTTATATTTGCATGTATGTTTTAGATTTTGAAAATTCGATCCAAGTAATTTAGGACATCCATGCTCATCGTTTAGTCAAAGTATCATCAGATACTGCCATTAGAACGAATTAATAATAATTGTTATCACCTACGGAATAATTCCCAATATACATTATGTCAGCCTTTACACATATCCCACAATATCCCGCTGTATGTGCTAGGGTGTTATAGAGAAACATTGAAGAACCACAGGATGTTGAAGGGGTCCACGTGTACCACTGTGGAAAAGAATTATTTTGAGTTGAAGTGATTTGAGAATCAACAAATTTCTGGTATGAATCCTCCCACCTAGCTAAAAGCAGAGCTCCAAAAGAACTCAACTGTCTTCATAAATCCCTTCCTCACGAGCTGGAGTTTTGAAAATAGGGAAGATGATAACTGGAGCCGGAGGACGTCAGCAACACACAGACATCATCACAAAACTATTGTATCTCCCATCTCCTTTTATCTTTCCTAAAAGTCATTCTTTTTTCCATAAGGCTCCTTTCTCTCCTTCCTCCCACCAAGAAATCATTTCTTTTCCCTTAAGTGCCCTTCTCCCCCTCCTTTTCCTCTTTTGAGACAGTATATATGCCCCGAATTCTGTCTGCTGGTCACATTTCTCTGTAAACTCTTACCTATGTATGTGAATGAAAATCTGTCTTTTTCTTGCAAATCTCTCTTTTGTAAGTTTAATTTGCATCTCCCCAAGACTGAACATAAGAGGGAGAGAAAGTGTTTATTCCCTGATAATGTGTAGAGAGAGAGTTTATTTTAAGAAATTAGCTTGGCTCGGCGCCTGTGGCTCAAGTGCCTAAGGCGCCAGCCGTATACAACTAAGGTGGCGGGTTCCGATCCAGCCTGGGCCCGTCAAAACAACAATGACAGCTGCAACCAAAATAGCTGGGTGTTGTGGCGGGCGCCTGTGGTCCCAGCTACTTGGGAGGCAGAGGCAGGAGACTCCCTTGAGCCCAGGAGTTGGAGGTTGCTGTGAGCTGT